AGTCCATGCCTTCCTCATTGGTTTTGGTTTTTAAAGACCTGATATTTTACCAAAAAATTATGTATTATTTTAATGTGTATGCCATGGATTGAATTGTGTCCCCCAAAAATACGTGTCATCTTGATTAGCACGATTCCCAGTATTGTATGATTGTCTGCCATTCTGTCATCTGATGTGATTTTCCTGTGTTGTAAATCCTATCACTATGAAGTTAATGAGATGGATTAGCGGCAGTTATATTGATGAGATCTACAACATTAGAAGTGTCTTAAGCCAATCTCTTTTGAGATATAAAAGAGAGAAGCAAGTAGAGAGACAGACGGATCTCATACCACCAAGAAAGTAGTGCTGGGAGCAGAGCGTGTCCTTTGGACCTGAGGTTCCTGCGTGGAGAAGCTCCCAGACCAAGGGAAGATTGATGACAAAGACCTTCCTCAAGAGCCGACAGAGAGAGAAAGCCTTCCCCTGGATGTGATGCCCTGAATTTGGACTTGTAGCCTACTGGTCTGTGAGAGAATAAATTTCTCTTTGTTGAAGCCATCCACTTGTGGTATTTCTATTATAGCAGCATTGGTTAACTAAGACTGTATACATATTTTAACTTCACACGGTTGACATTTTGTAACCTATTGCTGAATCATTGTGATATATTGGTCTGGTTGTAGTATTACTAGAAACATGTGACTTATCAATATTTTATTATAATTTACAATAGGTTTATCTCCTAGGAGATGAAGGATCAGCCTTGAGATGCTGTGTTTCCTTTTCCTGTCATTTGGCTAATTTATCTTCTTGGTGTACTCTGTTGATTCTCTTTTCAGATCTTGGTGCATCAGGCCCTGGGTGCTGATCATCTGCTGGACTTCTTTTCTTACTGGTTCTTACTGTCAACACTGGTGCTCTTATTATGTGTTGCCTTCGGTTTTCCCCTCATCTTGCTACAGTTCTCACTTTGAGGTGGTAGTATCTGTAGTCACACTTTATAGAGATTTCAAAATTTTTATAAACATACACTTAACATATACTTAAAAGAAGAAACCAACTTGAAATTAAATATGTCCTATTATATCTACTATTACTTTACATTACAACTACTTTATATGACTTTGCCTCTCCTATAAATAAGGATGGACACCTGGTCTTTCATATGCACCAGTCCAGTACCAGTTGCCATTAAGTCAACTCCGACTCATGGCAACTCCATGAGTATAATGGGGGTAAACTCAGAGTAGAACTGCTCCACAGGGTTTTCAATGACTGGTTTGCCAGAAATAGATCACTAGGCATTTTCTTCCAAGATGCCTCTGGGTGGACTCAAGGCTCTAACCTTTAGTTTAGAGCTGAGCGTGTTAACCGTGTGCACCACCTAGAGTCTCCTTAACAGGCACAGCTTGTTCCAATTAACTGTAATTATTTTCTTTTTAATGAATAAATTGCTGTACTTCGGGTTAATAGGACTCCTTTGTCCCTTCAGCACCCCCTCAGCATCCTTGAAAGCCACATTGCTTTCAGCCAAACAGGATGTTCCAGGTCCATGCTGGCCTTTCCTCCTCCAAGGTGTGGAATCAGGCATCTTCGCAGAATACTCGTTCCTTTCAGAGGAGTGTGCGTGGGAGTTGGTGGGAAGCAAAACCATGCTGCACTGTTAGAAGCGCCGGAAATGAAGATGTGTCATTGTAGGGATAGGAGATCACTTTTTCCAAGCTAACAAATTCTGCTGCTGAAACGAACGTTTCCTGTAATCTTCGGTTTCACCAGTCATGAAGACTTTCTACTGCCTGACATCCAATACTGGTTCGCACACCATTGTAACTGCAAAATATAAGAAACAAAATTGACCCAGCGACCCAGCGCGTGTCTCCGTATATTTGTGTAAGTTTCACGTTCAGCCCTTACCCTCGCTGCGCTTGGTTCACGCTGATATTTTGTTGTTTGCTTTGTTTTGTTTTCACATGTTCCCGAGACAATAAACTGATTTCCCCCCTAGAATTCTGGAACTGATCTACAGTTGTTATTTATTTATGCTTCTTGTTTTTCTCACGTTCGAGGACATAGGCCTGCTATTTGATCAAAGGAGGCACGGCTAGGGTCTTTCTCACTCCCCTTCTTGCTCACCTGGGTTCTGCTTATAACCTTCTTTGCTAGCTCAGTCAGGGTTCTCGGATAAGGAGGGTTGACACCCAAGGGGAAGAGCAGAACCACTGAACCCACGTTTGGAGTTTGGAAAAGCCATGCTTGGTATTCTATTTGCATTTTGTATTCACATCAGCCCATAAAGCCAGATCATTCTCATGTCTCATGTCTGTACAAGAGAGGGTTCAAAACTGCTCTCTGCAAAAACGTCACAAAACAAGAAAAAAACAGCGTAGGTGTCAACGGACTTTATCTCCAATAAATAAAAATCAAAATTGGATATATTCTTCATTTTATTTCCTCTTGTAAACGTTGTTGTTGAAGCTCTGAAGATATTTCATTGCACTCTGTGACCTTGCTTCTCAAAGTGGGGCCCACTGACCAGCAGCACTGCCATCAGCTGGGGGCTTGTCAGCCCCATCCCAGTCAGCTGAATCAGAGTCTGCGTTTTAACAAGATCTTCAGGTGATTCTGTAAATATTATGGTCTGTGTGGGTGTCTTGCTTAGAATGACCTTCTCATTCAAATATTTTATCAATATCAATCTATACAGTTAGTGGTTTTATAAGTTTTGCTTTTTAAATTTAGATGCTTCAATCATCTGGAATTAATTTTTCTGTTAGATGTGAAATAAGTGCTCTAACAATTCTTTTTAAATGGTTAATCAGCTGTCCTGATATCATTGATTAAGTAGTCCATCATTTCCCAACGGGGATATATTAAGTAGGGCAAAAAAGAAAAGCATATAAAACCACATAGTATGATCCCAGGTTTGCTCAAAGAAAAATACTGCAAATGAAGTAGATATGCGTTCCAAAGATGAATGGCATCTAAACTGTGATAAAATGTGTGAATGATTAAGAGCCTATCTGGAGGAAAACTATGCCTAAGTCACAGGCCTTTACATGTCCTGGTTCTTATTTAGAAAACAAGCAACTGTTTTGACTCTGGAAGTAGTTTTCTAAAGACTACATATTGTATGACTGCATTTATATGAAAAATCTACAATAGGCAAATCCATAGAGACAGGAAGTAGATTAGTGGTTGCCAAGGGCTGGGAGAAAAGGGTAATGGAGAGTGACTGACTAATGAGTACAGGTTACTTTTTAGGGTGGAAATCTCATTTAGAACATCAAAATGCTCTAAAATAGATTGTGGTGATGGTTGTACAACTCTGTGAATACACTACCAACTACTGAATCTTACACTTTAAATGGGTGAATTGTATGATATGTAAATTATATCTCAATAATGCTGTTTAAAAAAAAATCTTTAATTCGTTCACCAGTATTTGAGTGCATTTAGTTATATATGCCAGGCACTGTTCTAGGTGCTGGGGGTAAGGGGTGAGCTAACATTTACATGATATGCATATTTTATTTGAATTTTTTATCTAATGTATAACTTACCTTGTTACAAACATAAACTTGGGGCAGCTGTTTTATTTGAATATTATTAAGGTCCACTTCGAATTGAGGCAAAAGCATATCTCCAGAAGCACTGAGAAGTGGGACGTTATTATTATTGCAGTACTGCTGGGAACTGGAGGAGCTGCAAACGTCCGTTCACAAGATGCCACCAGGAAAGGTGTTGGAGGGGCCTCGAGAGTGACTTACACACTCAACTCCCCACAACTTGCCTGTGTGCATCCCAGGTCTTCTCAGTGCGGGCTACGGCGTGTGCATCCC